CTCCCTCTCCCCCGGCAGCAGCGCTGGAGGCAGAGTTAAGATGGCCCTGTCGCCGGGCGTGCGGGCAGGGGCACTTCCGTGCTTCGCTGCGGTGCTTTTGATGAGCTGGGTTGTATTTAGCTGGTGTCCCTGCGGGGAGGAGCTCCGTGTTGGCTGCCTTCCCCTATACGTGCTGCCATTTGTGCTTTTGACCCACCTGTTGCGTCCCTGTCCCCTTCTCGCCCGGGTGCCAGAACGAGATAGATGAGCTGAGGACGGAGATGGACGAGATGAGGGACAGCTTTTTCGAGGAGGACGCTTGTCAGCTTCAAGAAATGCGCCACGAACTGGAGCGAGCCAACAAGAACTGCCGGATCCTTCAGTACCGGCTGGGCAAGGCCGAGCGAAAGAGGCTCCGCTACGCCCAGACCGGCGAGATCGACGGCGAGCTCTTGCGCAGCATGGAGCAGGACCTCAAGGTACGGCCGTGAGCACGTGTCAAGGGGAGGGCACGTCTCAGACGGCGACACGAGCGTGCTCTCGGTCCTCATGACTCAGGCATTTCCATCCGTTCCGTTGTACGCTCTGCACCCAGTGCAGCTCGTAGGATAGCAATGGCCAAGCTTATCTTGGTAACTGGAACTGGAAACCAGGACAGCCCTTCAGTATGTAGGCAGGCCATTTGCAGCTTTAGTCCAATCATTTTTTGTAAAGTTAATGTGCAAGAAGTGATTCAAATACAAATTAGGATCTAGAAGTTTTGGATCTTTTATGACGAATGCAAAACATACCCTACCACCGCAAAATTAAACCAACCTCACTGAATCATCCTGTTGACTTTGAGACGATTACTGTATGCTTTAGTAAAGGTTTCAGAGGACTGGTAGATTCGATACTTGCAGAGTCACAACACGAAATCCTGACTCCCTTGGTGTCAGTGGAAAAACTGCTGTTACCTTCAGTGATGGCAGGATTTTCCACATCCACCTGAAACCATAGACCCATCAAATTTCAATGTGTAATCAACTGTATTTAATCCATAACATCTGAATGAACCACAGCCCATTGTTGAGGAAAAGTTTCAGTCCTTGTTTAAAGATTGTTGTTGGTAAAATATCCATCATCTCTGTTCTAGATTGGTCCAATTACAGAAAAAAAACCTCATTCTTGCACTAGTTGGAAGTTGTTCAATTTCTGCTTCCATCCACTAGGCTTTGTTAAGGCTCCTACTGAATCAGGACTCTCAAACTTTTTTCAGCTGACTGGTCTCCCTCCATTTCTCATGCAAGTACAGACCTCTGTATAGAAACATTTGTCCTCTGTATAGGACTAGTTACCTATGGCTTGTTGGATTCAGTGGACTGTAGTTGAAAATGCTCATTTAATACATGATCAGGAACAAGGTCATTCTTAAACTTCTTTCTGACAAGTATAATGGATTGAGAGTCTGTTATTCCCAAGCCTGGTTTGCAGACTTGGATCATCTCTTCTGAAAATTTTCCAGCTTGTCATTGTTCTTATTAAAATGTAGACAGCAGCCCAAGACACGTTCCAGTAATTTTCTCACTCACATTTAAAATGCCAACATCCTTCTCTGTATTTCTATTTGTTTTACTTTCCTGTGCGTATTCAAAACCCACGTTTGCTGTTGTGGCCGTGACAGTTCTGTAAGTACAGCTGTTCATGTGGCTTTTGACAAAATAGTGTCTTCCTGGTCAGAACCAAAATGACACCTTTGTTGGGGTCAGATGGAATTGCTCGTCGAAGCAGGGGACATTTTGTACAGAATGATGCTTAGGTGAATAGTTGAGATGCACCTTTGCAGGCAGAATTTGAACGTGAGCCTTCATGTCCCAAGTGAATATCATGATTCCAGCTTCAGGAGTTGATTTCTTTGTTGGCTTGATGCTACTTTCTATTAGCAAGTAATACATGCGCCGGACCTGCGAGGGAAATGGACTCTCCGGTGAGGTGCTCACCTGCGGTATAGGAGATCCTAGCTAAGGCCTGAAGTTGAGCTGGACAAAGAGCTCACTTTAATAAGGATTTCTCCCATGTCTTTCCTAATAACCATACAACTGACTATTTGGAAAGGAATAGTGTTTTTGCAAAGTATTCCCACAGATCATGAATGTGTTCTGCTTTGGAGTAGGGATGAATGTCTAATGCCAGAGATACAGTCTTGCATACAGCTGTATTAAAATGCATCTTGCATAAGTGAGTCCCATTTCCCATGTGATCTAGAATGCTCTGTAGGATTTCCCTGCATTAATTGCTACTCTGCCAAATTTTATGTCAAAAAATCACTACCAGTAATGATTTTGTTATTTGGTTGTATTTACTGATACAGACTCTGTCTATGGACCAAAGATGGATTCTGATAGGATGCTGTTAAAAATGTTGGACAGCCAGATGAGCAGTATAATACTGAGTGTAGGAAAAGACATCAAGATATAGCCCTGCGGTGTGATTCTCAGCTCATCCTGCAGTCTCTCTGGAGTATGGTTATAATTGAAATTCCCTTCCACTCTCTCTTTCTGTTGGGCATTATGTGTCCTGAGTGTGCATGCAGTGGGGGAGGTTATTGAATGATCTTGTGCTACACTGCAGTGTTGTATCAGTAGTTCACACACACTGGGTTTCTTGTCAGGGGAGGCTGAGTCACTAGCTGCTGCTGTTTTCTGATAGATTGGATTCTTCTAGACTGCTTGCTTGCAATTAGTATTTTTTTCTTTAGAGTTTTAGTATGTCAAAGAGTTCTTTGACATACAAACGTAAAGATTGTTCTAGTGAAAGCCTTAAAGGATAGCTCTCTGAGCTCCCCTAGCTAATGCTAAGAAGGATTAATTATACTTTCCAGTGTTCTAAAAAAAGCAGGAAATTAGGCTTTTCAAACTGTGTGTCTAAATCACTATCATAAGAGTCATTACTGTATATTTAAATATTTTTGGTGCATGTTTATATTTTCTGGTGGTTTCACAAAATACAATGCAAGTGGCTTGAATGGGAAAATTCTCATTACTTTACATGAAGAAGAGGAATTAGGTCATGACATGTGCCTTTTAACTTTAGTCCTGTGAAAATGCATTAAAAAAAAACAGAAAAAAGCAAAAACCTTAGTGTTGATTTTAATTTAAAATATTGGACATCATTTGGGTGAACACAAGGTCAGTAAAAATGTTGTTTGTTCATATTTTACTCTTTAAATTAACCAATAGTAGTAAATACCAGATATTTAGATTAACTGTTCATGAAAGAGAGAAACTAGCAGGGTCGAAATAGAGATGTGTCTCTTTGTGGTCCTATACCAGGCACAGGTAGGGTAGGCCTGGAGAAGGTGGGTCCTGCTTTTAGGTGCTTCTGCATGTCGAGTATTTGAAGGGTATACACCTTAGTGCATTAAAAAACATAAGCTAGCGGTGGTTGAGAGAAAATAGATGCTGCACTGTCTCCAAGAATAATGAAGGTCTTGTTTTACTGTTGACATAACAGAACCTAAGAAGGAGTTGTGGTTTAGTCTCTGATGTGGTTTCCAGTGAAGTCCACTGGAATAAAACACCATTTTTTGGAAGGAATTGGCTTGAATTTGGAATAATTTAGAATTCTGTCTGTAGATGTCCTTGTCTACATGATTCCTTTCATACCACTTCCATCAAAACATTCAGAATTAACCTGTACGTGGTTGCTTAGGCACTAAGTGCTGCAGCAGTAATTCTTTTTTTTTAATCTTTCTTTTGAAATATCATTCATTTCATTTAGGTTGCAAAAGATGTATCGGTGAGACTTCACCATGAGTTAGAAAATGTGGAAGAAAAACGTACTGTAACAGAAGACGAAAATGAAAAATTAAGACAGCAACTTATAGAAGTTGAAATTGCCAAACAAGCACTACAGAACGAACTGGAAAAAATGAAAGAGGTTAGTGTTGCTATTTACTTCTACACAAAGTATTTTAAGTTCTCAAATTCTTATTGCTGAACTAAGTGGTTTTCTTCCTATAATTTGTTTCGGGTGCACAAAATATGTCAAGTTGAGAAAAATAAAGTTGAAAATTGCCAAGAGTGCTGAAGTATAGCTTGATGATTGGGAAGCTGAGAACAAACTAAAATACTTGGTGTTTCCTAGGTGAAACAGAAACCAAACTGTAGCTTCGCTTTTCCTATACAAGGAGGGAAATGCGGAACTGATGGTAACAGAATTCAGAGGCTTTGAGACATTGTACTTAACATTAAGATACGTACAGAAAGAGTGCTGAAGGGAGTCAGAGACATCTAACTTTGCAGCTGATGTTCTCCACAGGTTTTTACAAAGACCAGTATTTTTCCCTTGCTAAGGACTGCTAGGGACTAGCAGGCACACTGAGACTGGGGATCTAGCCACCTCCCCATCTTGTTGACTCACGCTCTTTTGGGAATATTGGAGCATGAGAGACTCTACCTGGCATTTCAGTCTAAGCATAATTTTATGTTATATCTAATTCATCTTCAGAATAACTCTACTCACTGTTATATAGGTGCAAGATACTGTGCCATTAAGCAGAAAATTGTATTACAGCAGTAATAGCCTGGCCGACAGAGGTAACAAAGCATGCAGTAAAAAGAGAAACTGTTGACTAAGAGTGACTGCTCAAAACAGATTTTAGGAACAGGTCTCCAGTTTAGTGTTTAGAGTGCAATGAATGCCACTGATTTTCACTTTTAGTAATATTTTCTAGCAGGAATGCCAATGTCTACTTTGATCTTGTATGAAGCAGAAGAGATGTATTTCAGTTGTTAAGAAAGGCAGGAAATTTTCAGCTGTATGGTAAGTTATAGTATTTTTAGGAGCTGCAATTGCTTGCTTTAAGTGATGCGGTATTAAAAATATTAATATGTTTTCTTTACAGGAACTGAATTTCTAACATGTTAGTAGAGGATAAACAGGTGTTTGTTTCTACCTTCTACTGCTTTTCCAGATAATGGCAGATTTGAAAAGGGCATGAAATCTGAGCCTTATTCAGCTTCCCTCTCCTCTGCCTGAGACTTCTGTTTTCACTCTGGTTTCCGCCATCAAATACAGCTCAGTTTCTGGGACCATCTTCATGAGAGCATGATCTTTCCGTAATTATCCTTACAACTTGTTGTTAAGCTTGGCTTTACTCCAAGTTTTCCATTATTCTTGCCTGTTCAGACTCTGCTGTTTTGTAGAGTCCCATTTCCGGATCCTTTCCTTCTGCCCTGTGATAGGCTGTACCACAGTAAGCTTCTTTTGCCTTGCTGCTTCTTACGGATCTTCAGATTACAGTGAAGTGTAGTGGCAATTTAATAGCTTACGCTCTTTGGGAGCTATGTACCTGCAGGAAATTAACCCAATAAATAGGCTGCTTCACCTCTGTCATCAGTAGTCACTTTCTCTTTATCCTGATTCTTCCTTCTGGCCCACTATGCTGAACTATGGTTCTGCTGCTCTCGTACTGCTTTCCACTTCTTTCTTTAGCTTAGGTGTTTGCCCCTTTCTGTCTTTGCGGTTGGTATCAATGGAAAGATTCTTGAGACTCTGGAAAGAAGGAAAGTGTCATGTTTAAGCTAGGGGCTCTTCTACAGAACGTCATTTTCATGAAACTGAAACAGATGGATGATTCCCATTGGCACAGAATGGGGGCACTGAGCCAGAATGGAAAAATGCAGTAAGACTTTACACCAGAGCAGAGGTGGAGTGGACAAAGAGTCGGAAATACATCCTTATACTGAACTGGAGAGGAAAACTGCCATGCCTAGTCATTACATGATCATCATAACTAGGCAGGAGTTTTCATTTATATATTTCAAACACGCTACTGAGTCCCTTTCAGTAGGAGAAGGCTGCTTTTCAGGCTAGGACTTTCAGCACAGCATGGGAGAAGTTGGAGGATGGTTGAGGAGGTACAAGTCAGAGAAAAGCAAGTTCGAAGTGAAGCCAAATTATTATGCACTTTGCAAGCATGCCATGACTTGGGGGACCAATGGAAGGATGCTGGTGAAGAATACTAATTCTTACAGATTTGAAATGTAGAATCTGTGAAGAAGCTATGAAAATGTTAATATGAAACAACCATGAAAACCACCCAAAGCAGTCTGAATTGCAGTAGAATTTTTCTGTGACAAATACCTTTTCTTATTCTTTGGCAAGCAGAGGTTTCATGCATCTTAAATGTCATTGTCAGATAGTCATGTTAATTTTGTTTGCTTGGGAGTTATTTCCTCCAGTTTCATGGGTTTACAACCTTTTCTCATTTCAGTACAGCCATTATAACCAATGCAATCTCCTGCTTAAGGACGTTCTACTCAGCATAAAAAGGAATGCAGAGTCAAGACTTTTTGTCTGGATTGTGATCTTCACTTTATTGAGCTTAGAATTAATGGGAGAGTTAATCTCCAGAGACAATGAAGCATTTTTATTTTACAGCATAATAACAGTGCTCAGAGTATGTAATGACTGATTTCTGTACTTTTATGTCATCAAATGTACTGCAAAAACACAAACCTTCCCATTCTTTTAAAATCTATTTATGTATAACTGCCATGGGAAATTTGTTCTCCTTTTATAATGAACAGTGTGAGATAGCAGAGAATCGTCAAAAGACTGAAGAGAAAATGTTGGAGGTAGAAGCATAATTTTTGGTTAGGTAGTCTCTAGAGCACGACCAAAGCCAAAGTTCTCTCTGTGTAGATTCTGTATTGTTTTAAAAAACATGGTAGACTTGACTGGAAACATATATAAAAGATAAATGCTAGCAGATGTGTTTGTGTAGAGACAAATCTAGAGTTCTCCAGTGAACATCTGGGTGAATATAGACTTGTAAATGTATTTGTCCATTAATATAGAGAGATAGTTTCTGTTTCCCTTCTTGGTTTGGAGCTTTTGAAAAAAATAACTATGATAGATTTCATGACAAATGGAAGTTGTTGTTGATGGCAGCAGAAGCTTGCAAGCATCCAGGATTTGGAAGGTGTTCCAGCAAAGCATACGTTTTCTATCAGTTACTTTTACTTTCAGTCCCCCAACCTGCAGCTATTTCATCTAGTGTTATTCCTGCATACGTCCGCATGGAAACACAAGGGTTTTAATCTGCATTGTCAGTTCTTGGAATTTATTTGTAGCAACTGCTACTGATTTCCTCTTTTTTATTTGTTATTATTAATTGTAATGCTTTTTGGGAAGTTGAAAACAAACTAGAGAAATTGTTTCATAGAAGAAAGAGAAGCCAACTGTAGCTAGATGTAATTTTTTCAGATATTAAAAAAATGTTAATGAGTTGTTAATTAATTAACTAATGTTCATTGACTTGATGATAACCATTTGTTAAAGCCTAGCTAACTCTTGTAGAGTTTTTCATGATAGTAGTACGAACTAAGAATTCATTTGTTTGCTATAGCTATGTAGGAAATGCCCAGTTAGGCATGCTTTAGATAGTTTGTTATGAGACAAATGAAGTAGGGGGAAAATATGACAAATGTACTGGACCCTGGGCTTTACAAATCCTCATTGAAATGCAGATACATAATTGCAAGAGGCACAGTGTTTTTCAGAGACTTGGGTCTTTCTGGATAGAAATAGATTGCTCTGCTACTGCTCCAAGCTGGGCAGATGTAAGACAGCTCAGTTCTTACAGGCACATTAGGGTGATGTTGTCAAGCTACCATTTTCTTCTTCTAAGCATAGATTCTTAGCTCAGACACAGAGCTTGCGATAACCATGGCTACACAGCACATGAACTAGAGACGTCTTTTGTCCCGTCAGTTCAGACTGCAGGCAGAAGAGTTTATGCCTCTCTGTATGGGTCTGTGTTTTGCTGGAGTGGTGCCTGTCTTGTCAGTCAGTCTGTTTTGTACGCTGCATGGAAGTGGAAGAAGGCAGCAGGGTCTGGGGAACCGGGAGGAATCTGAGTTCTGTTCATGATTTTGATACTAACCTGCTGTGGGACCACAGGAAAGTAATTACACTTTTCTGCTTACTCTTGCAACCTTTGCCTGCCCTGTTTATGCTCAGATTAGCTCTCCATACATCTCTGAGTGCTCAGGCTGCACAGAAATCAGGAGGGTAGCTGGAAATTTCACATCAAAAGCTGCTGTAAAAAAACCCCAAACAAACACCACTCCACCCAAACCAAACACTGGAGACCTGTGAAAAGACCTGGTAAGGGATGATCCCATCCCAGTCCCCTTGATCACCAGTATCAGCTTGCCCACTATGTCTGATAAAAATCCAGTGTCTCTCCTTTCTCCCAGCCCTTTCTCTAAGCCCCTTCTCCTGCCATTTAACCACAACCACTTATTTCCAGTCTTTCTCCTGTAACTCACAGTGTCTCAGATTCTCCAGGTTCTCTCAGTCTTGATCCTGTGTCCGTTTTTTTGTTTGTTTGTTTTGGTGTGTCTTGTAGTAGTGGCTGTTTTGCTGTCTTCTGGTTCCTAAGTCCCAGTCTTGTCCTTCTCCCTCCCATTCCCTCCTTCTCTGCATCCTTCCAACTTTTCATGAGTGTCCAGTCTCCTCTCTGGATTTCAAGTCTTTTCCAGTTCATTTTCTTCTTATTCTACTCCAAGTATGTTATCCCCATTTCTTAGTTACAGCTTCTCTCTTCTGCAAAATTTGTCCTTTTCCTCTGATTCTTCCACCCCCTCATACAAATCTGTCAGCTTCCTTGGTCTGTTGTGTTCCTTTTCTTGTTTCCAAGCCTTAGCTCTTCACTTTTGTATCTGGACTGAGAGCAGTGGATCACTCACTGTGCTAGGAAACAGCAACTATATCACTGTGAGCACTGGAGAAAAAGTTTCTGGTTCTAATGCCTAGCCTTAGCTTTATCTAGACCCACATGGGGCAACAATTGCAGGACTAGTTAGGCTTTGCCTTCTGGCCTGGAGTTGGAACATAATCTGTCAGCTGGAGAAAATGTGCAGATTGAT